CCAGTCATTGGAGTTCCAGTTCAAGCTTCTGCTTTAGATGGAATGGACTCTCTATTATCCATAGTTCAGGTATCAACTTTTAAGCTCTTTAAGTCCAAGTTTTATGTTCTAAGATGTAATGTAGCTCTTACAAGAAAATTTCAAGTTTTTTGGGACCGATGATGCCAAGGATGACCCCGCCACTGACAATGGCTGTCTGTGTGCTAGTGGTGTCAACCTTGGTGTTATCCCCGTGTGATAGTGGCGTCAACTTTGTGTATACGCTTATGCAGATGCCAAGAGGTGTCCCAGTTGCAACCGTTGCAATAAACAATGCGACAAATGCCGGTCTGCTAGCAGTGAGGTTGTTAGGGATTAGTGACATCAAACTTCAAGCAAGGTATTATCAAACTGAAATTTATGTAAAATGATTTGTTTTTTTACGCCGAAAAATTATGCCTTAATTTTAACTGGACTCTGGGATCTAGATCTAGATACTGTTATAATACTCCCTCCATCCCGAAAAGATTATGGAACATCTGAATAAAGGTATGAAGTTCTTTGTGGAACAGGTCCCAGTGTATTTGTCCAGTTTGACTCCTTCGAGTCAAACTATATAAACTTTGAACTTCAACTAGTCTCAATTTGTATTGCATATTAGCATAATGAAATACAATTTTGAAAGTTCTCAATACGATAAATTCAATAAAGTCATTTTTATGTTAAAATATATTACTGTTTTTATTTAATTGAAGCTCAAAATTTGCCCAGTTTGACTTGAAAAAGTCAAACTGGACAAATACACTGGTACGTATCTATTGCGAATTGCAAGGACTTACTAGAGCGTTTTGAACGTTGTAGAATGGCTCAATATTTAGAAGACCGACGGGACGAGGTCTTGGTTAAAGCAGAGAGGCTAGAAAAAGATGGCTGGGAAGACTACTTGAACTGTTAACATTTTTTTTACTGTGGAAGCTTTTACAGAATTACAGGGCAGGCCAAACCTTTTTTTTTACTGCATCTCCTTCATGGAGTTCCCATTTTGTAGCTTTAGAGTGTACGGCTTTTAACTTGCAACTCAACTGTACTTTGAGTTATCTTTTCCTAATATGTTTGATTTTTTTTGGGTAATTAGCCTTGTAAAATTTTTATTAGCCAGTTATTTTTTAAGTACATAGGGAAGTTTCTACCAAACACTACCTCTGTTATTGTTTTGTAGGAAAGTTAAGGGTAGTTTGGGGGGTAAATTTCATCAATGGTACCTGAACTTTAGCTGGAATTTCGAAGTGGTACCTAAACTTCAAATCCTTTCAAAAAAATCCCTGAACTTACACAATCTTTTCACTAATAGTCCATTTATCCGTTTCTAGGTTAACTTCCGGTCATTTGGGCCAAATTAGAATTTTATATATTTTAAAATTTTCAATTTGACCCCATTTCTTTTTTTCTTTTCTTCCGTGCCCTTCGCCGGTTAAAGTCGCTGGAAAATGAACTTGGTCCGATTCTGGCGGGACCAACGCCATTCTCTTCGTCTTGAGACGAGGATCAAGAATATCCAAATCATTTTGTCCAATTTGGCCTGTAACTCCTCGAATCTGAATTCTTTCACTCGAAAAAGCCCTAAATTTCGAAATTGGGGTCAAAATTGGGGGTTTTGCAAATCGTCATCCAATCTTGCAATTGAAGGGTCCTTGGAAGTCGACGTGATGCCACGAACACATTGGAGTGGAAGACCGGCGTCAAATTTGCCGGAGTTAGCCGGAAAACGCTCCGACTCGCCGGAAACCGCCGGTGGGTCGAAGCGTTTTCCGGCTAAATCCGGCGAAATTGACGCCGGTAATCCACTCCAATGTGTTTGTGGCATCACGGCGACCTCCAAGGACCCCTCAATTGCAAGATTTGATGATGATTTGTCAAACCCCCAATTTCGGACCCAATTTCGGATTTTAGGGTTTTTTCAATTGAAAAAAATCAAATTCAAGGAGTTACATGCCAAATTGGACAAAATGGTTTGGATATTCTTGATCCTCGTCTCAAGACGAAGAGAATGGCGTTGGTTCTGCCGGAATCGGACCAAGTTCATTTTCCAGCGACTTTGACCGGCGGCGGGGCGTGGAAGAAAAGAAAATAAGAAATGAGGTCAAATTGAAAATTTTAAAATATATAAAATTCTAATTTGGCCCAAATGACCGGAAGTTAACCTAGAAACGGGTAAATGGACTATTAGTGAAAGGATTGTGTAAGTTCAAGGATTTTTTTGAAAGGATTTGAAGTTTAGGTACCACTTCAAAATTCCAGCTAAAGTTCAGGTACCATTGATGAAATTTACCCGTAGTTTGGGGTAAAGGTCTCCAAATAGTCATTAATGTTATCTGAATGTTAGTATCTATTTTGGACTTTTTGTACTTTAATAAAAACTGTAATTTTTATTAATTTTTCATCAATGAAATATAAACTCCATGGCATATATCAGTACAAAAAAATACAGCAAGTGTTTTAAGTAATATGCGAGATAAATGTAATAAGATCATTTTTATATCAACATGCAATTGCAATTTTTATTGATAACATTAACCTAAAATTTATCAAATTTGGTGTCGCAACTTGTAATGGACTCCTCTCTTGCGTTCTTGATCCTATTAGGCCCTTGTTGTCCATAAATGTATCACATTTTTATGCGACTTTATAAAAAAAGGGACGAGTTTCATCATCGAGGGACCTCCCAGACGGTCAGTAAAAGAAGGTAAATTGAACTTTAATCGCTGATTGCTGACAGGAAGTGAAGTCTGCACGTGTTACTTGCAGAGATTCTAACTAGCATAGTTATTTCCCAATGCAGTTTTCAGGAATCGAATTCAAGTCTATTTCTTGGCACTTCCTATATTTACTAACTGCACAACACCCACCAGCTTTGATGTAACTATACTTGCTAGTACTTGGTATTGCACTAAGATCATCCCTAGTAGTTGAGAAAGAGGAAGGAAAGTCTTAAGGTGACATATGTAAAGTGAATGGAAGGATTAAAGTGGGGAGGAGAAATAAGGAGAGAGGGGAAGTGGGGAAATTAGGTTACCAAAAAAAGAAAAAAATGAAAAGAAAAAATAAGAAAAACAAAAACACACACACATAGAGAGAGAGAGAGAAGTGAAAAAAATACAATAACTGAGTGAATAAAAATGATTTTTTTTCTTTGGTACAAAAATGATTTTTTTTATAATGGTAGAATTTTTTAATCAATCCAACTTTGTGGGTAAATAATTTTATTAAAAACAAAACATATACTCCGTACTCTATAAATTTCGATTACTTTTTAAAAAAGTAAGGAGAATGGGTAAAAATGCTCTACTCGGCCCTATGCAATGCACATATGTCTAATGCTATGGTAAACAATTAAATTAAATTCAAAGCCCGCATGGGCAGCTCAGTTGGTCAAGAGCGTGAAATCTTGAACCGATGACCAGGGATCGAGTCCTGCAAGCGGCATTGTGGGAGCTATCCAAAAATCCCATAAAGGGTGAGTAGGCTCCTTGTGCGCGGTGGGCACGGGTCTAGCGTTCTTGGCCGACTGAGTCACCATGATTTACTTCCTCCACCATTCCTGTCGGGCAAGGGGGTGGTGGCGCCTGGGGTGGGCGATTCCACCTTTTGGACCGATGGTACACAATTAAATTACTGAGTATATTTTTTGGTACACATCTTTGATTTATGATAGTCTACTCCTATTTGAATGATAATAAAATGTCTTCTCAAAATAATTAATTACGGAGTAAAATGCTACTTCATTCCAAATTAAATTGTCCGTTTACCATTTACTGTTTCAAAATTCATTAATTTTTTTTCTTATTTTCATTAATTATTTGATAAAATAATTTAATAATATCACCACTAGTTTTATTGATCTTTTGATGTAATTTTTAACTATTTAATTTTTATTTTTTTAATTCTATACCATTTTTAAAATAAAATAATTTAAAAATGACTTCAATCAAACTTCGTAAATCGAAACAATCAATTTAAATTAAGACCAAGCGAATACTACAATATTTCTTACCACTCTAAGTTCAAGTTGCGAGAAGCAAGGACGATTGACCCCCAAGTTGAGTTGCTTCAAAAAGGGAGAAAAATAATACAGTACTCATTTCGGTTTATGTTCCTTAATCATTAAAATCTTCTCAAATTTGATTTAATTAATTTTTTTCTACAGAGTACGATTTTGGATCACGATTCCGAATAAGGATCATTGTCATTTACTCGTAATATAAAGTATACAAAAAGAACTCAAGTGATTGGAGTGATTTTTCTTAGAACAAGACATCAATCAAGAAATTGCCTAAATAGAACTAAATAGGAATAGGAATAGATATTGCTAAATATGAATAATGCTAGGGTCACAAATAAACAATTCACAAAATTCACAAACTTGCCTTTTTAACACTTTCCTAGAAATAAGATGCATTCAAATAATAAAAGATGTTTTAATTCAAAATCCAAAAAAAACAAGTTTGTGAAGTTTGTAAACTATATGTTTGTGACTCTAGCATTTTTCATAGAATATAGAAAAAATACCAAAATAAAAATTCTATATTTTTATTTCCAAATAAAAGTTTACACTGTGACAATGTGACACTATATATGTACATTTCACGATATTTTTTAGTAATTAATATGGTCATGATTGACACTATATATGCATTTTAATTCCTATTTAAGAAATAAAATATATAACTTCTATTTTGATATATTTTGTATACTTTTACTCCTACTTTAGTCTTTTTCTCATAGCAAAGACAACCATTTTATAAAAGTCTCAAATTAGAGTTATACAAAAAGAATGAGATGACATGATAATTTGAATTTAAGATAAGAGTGGAAATATGGAGATGTAAGAAAAGAAGATGCAGTTTAACTATGTAAATAGCACGGAGCAATTGCAAATATAATTTTGGGACGGAGAGATTAGTTCAGAATACAACTAAAAAACAATTATAGTGGCAATAACAAGAACAACAAAACTCCATAATATCCATTACCAATTTTAGAGCTTAAAAATCTGATAATATTCCCAACAAAACCGGGTTAGTTAGTTCTTTCAACAAAAAAAAGGTTAGTTGTTTCTGTTCCCATCCTCTCAAGTTTCACTTTCATTTTTTTTTTAATAAATCCCACCAGAAGATCGGATGGTTAGGTTCAGCTACCAGCCAGCAACTGAAAGTAAGCAAAAAAATAAAGCCAAAACTTCACCATAAATTTGCGATTCTGTCCAAAGACTTCAAAAACCGTCGATTTATTTTGCAATGATTTGGGCATGAGTGCAATTTCTTGACACCAAATATACACTTGAGAGCCCAAATCATGACAAATTTGGTAATTTTTAAAGCTTGGGACGGGATTGCAAATTTGAGGAAAAGTTTTGGGTTTCTTGTCATTAGGCCAACACAGAGAGCAATCAAAATAGATGGCGTGGGTAATTAACTTACACAAACGTTTCAGAAAAAGAAACTATAGTTCAACCTTCGGGGATGGCGTGGGAGCGGTCCTTGGTGAGAAAAGCCACGCAAATGCTCTTGACCACACGCTTGGCGCCACAACATCACTAGGGATCACATTGCAAAGGGTATTGTAGTCAAGCTTCATGTGAGGAGCGGCTATTCGGTTCTGTGGCAAAACAAGAGCAAGATTTATCATGTGATGAAGTTTTTATAGATGCTGAATAAAATTTCAAGAACTTTACCTTAAATACTTCAAAAGGGCAAAAAGCAGATCCATTGCAACCCTGCACCCAAAAACCAGTTTTAAATTCTAAGGGTATGCGCTGCAGGACCCTTATTATTTTCAACACTTTCAGGGTTCTTAAGAACATCATCTTATGTTAGAATAAATTCAAAAGTTTTAAGAGTTTACATGTACTTTGATTTCTTTGTCTTTATATTAATTGTGTAATGTACATCACAATAGCAAATATCACAACTCAATTAACTCATCATTGTATGGTGATATTTTGTATGCATGTAGAAATAGTCGATGGGATTGATGGTAGTTTTAGAACTTTATCTCATTATAACTATTTATGAAGGTTGACATGGATCTACCATAAAACATTCCCCCTATTCTCTTTGCATGAAGTTTTAGACTTTAAACTATTTTATCAATTAATTGGCACCAAAAATTAATACCATCCACCCCAATTAGTTGGGATTAATATGTTGATAATGATGATAATGAAGTGACTATTAACTATATACTATAAAAAAATGAATGAAATGTGTGAACAAACATAAAAAATTGATTTATTGACTTTCAACCAATATATTTTCATTCCATTTTTACTTCCATCCAAATTTCCCATCTATTTTCTCCCTATATTCTTCCCCTAGCATTTTCCAGGTTCCAAACAGACCCTTAGGCATTGATCATAATTCATAAAGAACCTTACCGGCATTGGAATTGGATGCTCATTGTGCAACACATGAACATAGTACTTGCTTGATTCCTGTGCAGAACAACTGTAGAGTACTAGCATGTTATTTCCGGCAAAAGGTGCAACTACACTGCCCCGCCAATTTCTCTTTTGAGGAGGCCTGGGAGGGAGTTGTAATACTTCTTCTTTTTGAATCCTTTCAAATTCTGAAATATTTGGTACCAGAAATTATGATTCAGAAAAACAAAGTGAGCAGAAGTCAAGATTGCATATAGAGAGTAAGATTACTCACCAGATTCTTTAAGAAATAGTCCGATCAAACATGAAAAGGGAAGCAAGGTTTCTGCATGAGCAAAACGTAGCCTTGCAGTTTCATAACTTCCTTGGGGATGTCCTTCTAATGAAAAATCAAGAACAAGAAGATTTGAAAAACACAAGAGAGTTAGAGTGGAAGCTTTTTTTCAATTAAGAATAAGACTTGATACCATCTTTTCAGTTCAACTAAACCATAACAAATCTAGCTGGGAATGTAGCATGTTTCCTTTTAAAAATATAAATTTTGTAACAAGCTTAGAAAACATTCCATTAAGATAAAATATCCTTATTAGTAGACTAGTAGTTGTTTTTCTTATGCAATACCATTACTGCTACAGTGCCTAAATGGAGTTATTTTCAAATCAATTTATATCAATATTGTGGTAAAATTAAAAAAATAAAATCTATATACGGAGTATTTAATAAGTACATCAAAAGTTCTACAAAACAAGTGACAGTTTATGTTATTTTAACAAATGATCAATGAAAATATATGATGAAAGATATAATTTGACCCTATAAATAGTAAACACAAAGAGCATATTAGGATGAAGAGATTTTTGTTATTATTATTATTATTATTACTTGTATTATTATTATACACTATACAGTTCACAAAGCTTATCAAAGAGTATTAGTCAAGCTCTAGGTTTAAAAGTACGAAAGTATGTGCAATTACAGCTAACGCCCCTCTATGGTTACCACTTGACTCATAGACAATCAGACTTCTCTTTTTAAAGACTAAAAAAATTAACATCAGCACATATTCATTTTACAATATCAATTTTCCATGACATGTGGCCACAAAAATCAAAGTCTTCCATGGATAATGTTACCTTCTTTAGCCTTGATTGCCTGTTCCATAGATTGAATTACATCTTCAAGCAACGGAACTCCCATTCTATAGTTCAATGAATTACCATAGCCTTTTATTATGAACAGCTCCAAGTCATCAGTCCACTCCAACAGAGAAACCTAAGAAATAAGCTGGTCAATGAATCAGAGAAATATAGTTCAAGAATGATTAACTGAATAAGAATTCACAGCAAGGC